CATGCATGCATACATACATACATACATACATACATACATACATACATACATACATACATACATACATTCATACATGCATACATACATACATACATACATACATACATTCATACCTACCTACCTACCTACCTACCTACCTACAGACAGACAGACAGACAGACAGACAGACAGACAGACAGACAGACAGACAGACAGACAGACAGACAGACACAAAGACACACTTCTGTTGAGCATCGCGGGCGGGACAACGAAGCCACACGGCCGTCCTGTAGTCACGCCCGAGGGGCGACTGCCGGGTCAAGCAAGAGGACGCACACGATGCAGCACCGGCCAAGAGCAGGCCACACTAAGGACGACGAGGGGCCAGCGAGACAAGGGCAAGGGGGGCAGGGCAACACACAAACACACACACACACACACACACACACACACTTCCGCCTCCGCCTCCGCCTCCGCCTCCGCCTCCGCCTCCGCCTCCGCCTCCGCCTCCGCCTCCTCCTCCTCCTCCTCCTCCTCCTCCTCCTCCTCCTCCTCCTCCTCCTCCTCCTCCTCCTCCTCCTCCTCCTCCTCCCCCTCCTCCTACACACGCACACACACACACACACACACCGATCCTGGCCGAGCTCATCCCTCGTCCTGGGCCGAGGATCGGCGCGTGCGCCACCCTGGCTTGGCACCGGGGGCATGTGCGCCGGTCGTGGGCCCAGGGTGGGCCCGACCAGGGTCGGCGCGCGCGCATTTACCAGCCTGGAACATATCCCTATCCCTATGCTGGGCACCTCCTCATCACGATGTCAGTATTAGGGATTCCCTTATTTTTTGAGGGCGAATCCCTAAGATTGTCATCGCCTTTGGGCGTGTCAATCTTAGGGATAGGGATACGTTCGAGGCTGGTAACGCATGGCTATCTTCCCCCGAGCAATGCCCGACCTCTGGCGGACTGGTGATGGCAATCCCACTGCCTTTCCTCTGAGTCGGCCTCCTACTGCCTGGAGGTGTGGAAAACGCTGGAACCACGGATTGAAAGAACCATCCGCCGCAAGTGTGGCCACCAAGAGGACGGGGGACCACCTCCATCGAGGAAGGTTGGTACACCATCTGGGTGTGAGTGGCACATTGAGGCAGTACCACCATCATCGAGATCGAAGACTGTATGAATGAGCCCGGTGGAGGATCTTGGTTCGTCCAAGGCCCCCCTTAACCACATAGCCCTCATGGGACCTTCGAGATCGCCAAGAAAATATGAATTCGCCGGCCCAACGGGCCAAAGGCGTGCTAAGATCTCCGAGCAGCGTGCAGGCGAGGCGCCGGGAAGTTTCGGAGACGCTCAGAAGCATCTTTAAGCGACGACGTCATCGTCGCCAGATCGTCGCCTGCCCCCCGCGATGCGCGCGGGCCTGAGAGCCACGCACGCCCCTCGCGGCCCCCCGTGTCATCGGGATGAAGGCGACGTTTCCCCGGGAACTGCTGGCCGAGGCACCCGACATAGCACCATCGAGCGTGGGTGCTGACGCCATGCCGCCCCGCCGTATCAAATGCTGCGTCACGACGGCGATGCTCCTCTACTGCCTCCTCGCCATCCGATCCTCTACTCTGAATGCGCCCCAGTCGGCGGGCCGAGACTGGGACCCAGAAGGATGGGGCCCCGAGGATATGAGGGGATCCCAGGCTGAATTTGCATTGACTGGGGCCCCTCGTCCTTCGGGCCAGCAGAACAGAGAGCTACATCAGCATACACTTCCGGAGCTCCGCGCTGGGCCCCCCTTTCTCCCTGGCGCGGGGGGCCCAGCGCCGATCCAAGAGATCCGCGCGGAGCTTCCACGGCTTGCTCTCCCCACCCGACAGGCCGGGGTCGCTGGATTCACAAGCCTCCCGGCCTGCCCGCCCTGCACACCGCGGCCGCCAGATCCCCAGGCTCCCGATGATCCCTGGTGGTCCCGCCGCCCCCCCCGCCCTGCACACCGCGGCCGCCAGATCCCCAGGTCCCTCGAGGATCCCTGAGGGTCCCGCCCCCCGCGCTGACTCGCCCACTCTGCATACCGCGGCCGCCAGATCCCCAGGTCCCCCACAGAACAGAGCAGAACACCACACCACCGAACAGAACAGATCCGAGCATAACATACAATACCATGACGGACCATATTGCAACATCACACACCATGACAGAGCAATGAATACCATAGCACAGCATCGCAGCATATATCATTCCATAGCATGACAGGCGAATCAAAACATAACGAATCAGCGCAGAACTGAACAGTCTAAAACCGAACATGCCACGCCACCACATAACATGGAATCACATACCAAAGCACAATCCAGCATAACAACGCATGAGCTGGCATACCAGAGCAGGCATAACACAGCATAGCATAACAGTTCATAGCACAACATGCCATAACTGAGCATCACCTACTATACCATGACATACCAAAACACAACATAGTACAGCAACACAGCACACAACATTGCATACCATGGCAAAGCATTGCATGACAGAGCACGGCATAAGATGCTACAGTATAGCAAAACATAGTTCAGCATAACACCATAAGCTATGGCATAACTGGTCACACAGAACATAGCACAACACCACACCTCACAGCACAGCATAACAAAGCATAATTTGGCACGACATGACAGAGCACAGCATATCACAACGTACTCCGAAGGTTTCCGTGGGGATCGCTCGGAGCAAAATAATGTACGCCGTTTTGTTTCACAGCGGAGTCGGCAATTCAAAGATGTGGCCCTGAGGAATGGGTCGAGCCTCCCCTGAGATCCGACGTTGCAAAACTACCATGCGATGTACCCAACTCATATGCATCAAGTGACAAGAGGAATTGGCCCAAAGTTGCCAGGACATTTACAGCGCAGGCACCGATATATGCTGTGCAAGCTACATCGTGCGCGCTCTCGTGGCACGATTCACCAGACAACAACAGAAGAACGAGGAGCGAGGGCACAGGCTTGAGGATGACATGGGGGCGGGAAGGAAAGACAAGAGAAGGACGCGTGGGGGGCCGAACCGTCAGCGCGGCAGCAGCAGAGGGAAGGTGGAAGGGGGCAGAGGGCGACGACGAAAGCGTCGGGAGGAGACCGAGGAGTGTTGTTCGTGTCGGTAGTACGCTAAATATGCAGCGCTGCCTGCGCAAGGACGCCGCGGCGTTCGACAAAATGGTTAAACCTGCTTACTGTTACTGCACGAAGCGAGCGAGACCTAGCTCGCCCGCCAGCTTCCCTGCATCCGTCCTGCATGTTTCAGCGCGGGAGCTAAACACTCGAAGGCACGCCGCCAGGCCTGCGGGCGGCCCGCGACAGCGCCTCGAGGGACCCCCCAGCAGCCCTCGAAAGTGGCGACGGTTTCGCAGATCGCAGCCCCCCAGGGATGGCGAGGTCTAATCTGAATATAGGTGGTGCTTCACTCCGCTGAACCCCCCCAGCAGCCCGCGAAAGTGGCGACGGCTTCGCAGATCGCAGCCCGCCAGGGATGACGAGGTCTAATCTGAATCCGCGTGGGACCCCACTCCGCTGGCCCCCCCAAGAGGCCTCGAAAGTGGCGACGGTTTCGCAGATCGCAGCCCGCCAGGGATGGCGAGGTCTAATCTGAATCTGCGTGGGACCCCACTACGCTTGCCCCCCCAGCAGCCCTCGAGAGTGGCGACGGCTTCGCAGATCGCAGCCTCCCAGGAATGGCGAGGTCTAATCTGAATCTGCGTGGGACCCCACTCCGCTGGCCTTCCCCAGCAGCCCTCGAGTGGCGACGGCTTCAGATCGCAGCCTCCCAGAGATGACGAAGTCGAATATGAATCTGCATAAGACGTCACTCGCTGGCCCCCCCCAGCAGCCCTCGAAAGTGGCGACGGTTTCGCAGATCGCAGCCCCCCAGGGATGGCGAGGTCTAATCTGAATCTGCGTAGGACCCCACTCCGCTGGCCCCCCCAGCAGCCCTCGAAAGTGGCGACGGTTTCGCAGATCAGAGCCCGCCAGGGATGACGAGGTCAAATCTGAATCTGCGTGGGACCCCACTCCGCTGGCCCCCCCAGTAGCCCTCGAAAGTGGCAACTGTTTCGCAGATCGCAGCCCCCCAGGGATGGCCAGGTAGGAGGCAAGCTCGCACGCAGGAAGGAGCGAGGGCGGGAGGAAGGAGGATGCGACCACAGTGCTCTATTCAAAACGAGAACCCAATGCAGAAGGTTTGGGAAAACATGCAACATCGCAAAACATCACGCCTGGAACGCCAGACCCCATCTTTCTGCGTCACTGTTCGAGCCGGATCGATCTATGAGATTGCTGGGATCCGAAATCGAGCAAGAACGCCCGTCGTGCGAAAAAATGCAGCGCCAGGATCTCAGGGTCCTGCCTCCTCTCGGGAGCGCCAGCCATCTGCTCGCGTCGGCTCCTGGCCGGGCAAGCCTGGCCCAGTGATCGACTGCACGCCAGCGTGCCGCACGCCTGGGTCAGGAGCTCAAGCTTTTTTGAAACCACATAGAGCGCGTTATGAGGCTGGGTGGGTGGGTGGGTCCGCTGACACATAACATAACACGTTGCGCGAGCACTACGAACAGCATACCTGCGCGCCAAACAACAGGCGCTGCTGCAACGTGGGTGGGTGAAGCCGGGGGCGCTGTGATCTACTGGGTGGGTGGGCGGGTGGGTTGGAGGCCACATAACGCGCATTTTGCTGGAGCAAAAAAACTTTAGCTCCAGGACGGCGTGCGCAACGATCCTGGGACCACACTGGCCAGCATCGGTGCTGGTTGAGTCGACGCCCCGTGGCCTCCCTCCCTCCTCCCTTCCCGCCTACCTCCTCCCTCCTCTCTACCTCCTCTCTCCCTCCTCCCTCCTCCCTCCTCTCTCCTCTCTCCTCGCCCCCTCCTCCCTATCCTCCCTCCTCTCCTCTTCCCTCCTCCCTCCTCTCCCTCCTCTCCCCCTACTACCTCCTCCCTCCTCCCTCCTCTCTCCCTGCGCACAGTCGCCTACCCCCACCCCCAGCCAGCCATGCTCTGAATGCCCAGCTGCCCCCGCTTCGTGTCGGAGACCTCGAAGATTGGCACCTTCGCCAGCAGGGAATCCTTCGGCTCGACCACCCCCATTCCGCTGAGCAACTGGCAGGCAGACAAGCCGTCCTTAGAAGAAAAACTGCGCGGATTTCTTGGATCGGCGCTGGACCCCCTCCCCGGCGCGCGGAGCGCACCAGGGGCTGCGCCGGAGGCGCCGCCAGGCGTGTCCAGCGCCGATCCAAGAAGTCCGCGTGGAGCTCCGACAGGTTTGGTCTATGCAGTTTGTTCCTCTTCGTAGGTGGCGACATCCGAGCCTGATCCCCACCAGCCATCGATTTTCCTGGAATCCGTGGGAGGCGTGGGTGGGGTGCGGATTTCGCCACGTGTTCGGCGCATTCCGAACCCTACCCCCGCCGCACGTCGAATTGCCTGAATCGTTGATCGGCGAGGAACGGAAAAAATAGATTTTGCTCGCGCAAATCTGAAACTATCCCTTTCCGAACCTCAAACTAAATACAACATGTGTACAAACGACTGACTTCAAATTGTAAGACTTCGACAAGAGACTGTTTCCGAAAATCTGAAAAAAAAAAAAAAAAAAAAAAAAAAAAAAAAAAAAAAAAAAAAAAAAAAAAAAAAAAAAAAAAAAAAAAAAAAAAAAAAAAAAAATCGAAATTAGCCTCTCTCTCTCTGAAGGAAGGGTTCCGACTTCGGCGCCGATCTTCGAGTCCTTCTCCTGGTAGTTGAAGGCCACGCACCCTCCCGACACGCCCAGGTCCATGCAGCGCGCGGCACACCGGGGCTGCTGGCCCTCGGCCATGGCCGCGAAGGCCCTGCCGGGCAGCGCGGCCAGGGCGCAGACGGCGCTCCAGTTGTCCTGCGGGCTCATGCTGGCGAAGTTCGTGGCCCAGGTCTCGAGCGGCCTGAGGGGAGCAACGAAAACCACAGGAGCCGAAACTGTCCGAGCTCCGCGCGGAGCTCTTGGATCGGCGCGGGGCCCCGCATGCAGCGTGCTCGTCTTCGAGACGGCCGTGGCCCGGGTCTCGGGCGGCCTGGTGCCGTCCCGCATCGGGCCCGCGAGCGCGTTGATGGTGCCGTTGGCGACCGCCACCTCGCCTCTGACCTTGCCAGCGCTGGTGAGCACCTCTGCGCCGCGATAATCTACACACGGGCCCAGCCGGCGAGACCCCCCCGTGCCTCGAGGGAGTGCGACACGGTGTATATCATCTCTGGCTCTTAGGGGTAATTTGCACACCGCCCCCACCCCCTGACGCCCAAGAAACAATCCACCAGGAGGGGTCCGTCTACTACGGATCTTTGTGGCGGAACCTCCTCGCTCAGCAGCTCCAGCTGGCTCAGGGCCGTGACGTTCTCGGCGTCCAGCAGCGACTTCCTCTCAGCGAGCGTGGCCACCTGAGAAGAAGAGAAGACACATACACATCAACCTTCGGAGCTCCGAAAAAAAGTTCTGGACGCCCGAAACGGGTACGGAAGAAATGGGTACGACGCCCAACAACACATGTTGTCCGAAACCGACAGCGGCCGCTGTTGGGCAGGTTGCCGCCTGTCTCAAATGGACAACGTCCGCGGCGGCGCGGACAGCGAGTCCTGCTCAAAAAGAACAGGAACTGCGGTTGGGCATCGTACCCCTTCTCTCCGTCCCCATTACGTTCGCACCGACGCACGCTTGCAAAATCGTGCCCTCTCCAACACCTGGCCGGCCAGCAGGCTGCTAGCGTGGCCGGCGCTGGCGGCGACCTCCGCCAGCCCGCCCGCCGCCGCCCCCAGCGCGCCCGTGAGGCCGCAGACGCGCTGCCCCTCCGGCTCCACGGAGCAGACCTGCAGCCGCCACGCGCCGGCGACGGCGACGACGACGACGACGGCGACGGCGGCGGCGGCGGCGGCGACGACGGCGACGACGGCGACGGCAGCGACGGCGGCGGCGACGGCGGCGACGGCGACGGATCCACGGAGCATACCTGCAGCTGCCACGCACTGGCGAGGCCGCGGAGGCCGGCGACGGTCTGGTTGGCCAGCGCCAGCGCGGCCGCGCCCTCCGCCGCGGCGCCCTCGCCGGCCTCGAGGGCGATGTCGGCCTCATCCTTTCGGGCACGCTGACATGGACCACCGGGAAGCTGGAAGCACACACGCCTGGACTCACATGTGGAACACCTGGAGGCCACGTGGCGCAGCCAGGCTCAGCTCGTGAGTCCTCTGGACGCCCAGAGTGCCTGGCCACACGAGGGCCGAGCGCTGAAGAAACACGCCTGGCCATGTGTGTATCGAGCTCTCGCCCAGGCCGGGCGCGTCGTGTGTACTCGGCTTCCTGGTAGGGGCCCGTGGGCCTGGCGCGCGGGCGCCAGACCCGCGGATCGGGAAAGCATCCCCCCCGACACTGGAGGCCAGCGCCGCCTGACGTTTGGCGACGGAGCGCGCCGATCTCGCATGGAAACGGAGCCCGTCGCTCATCCACGCGCCCTGCTCCATGTGTTCGCTGCCTCGAGCCTTGCTGTCGCCGCACGAGTGCATCTCGAAGAGGCTGCTCTTGACCTTGCCGCCGCACATCTCCTCGGCGTCGCCCTCGAGGATGGCGGCGGAGGGAGGAGGAGGAGGAGGAGGAGGAAGAGGAGGAGGAGGAGGAGATAGGGAGGAAGACACAGAAAAAGAGGAGGAAGAGGATCGAGGAGGATCAACGATTGTCTTGTGCCAGACGTGTTTCCTATTTGGGCTGCCGAAGACCTCTCTAAGGACCTCGGGGATCGTCTGGCGACATCCAGGTCCGGCGGGGAGGGACGGCGTCAACATCCTGAAGAGTTCCCCCGTCCCTGACTCGGAGGCGAACGCGGGGGGGAATGTGAGGAAGGACAAGGACTTCTCAGAAAAATCGGGAGCCCCCGGACTTCTGAAAGTTTCGGAAGGCTCCCCCGAGCATACAAAACAAAACGGTCAAAAGGCGCCTCTGAGAAGCCTTGTGGGTGCCATGACAGTGGACACTCGAACAGTCCTATCATCGAATGCATCATAAGTTTAAAATGTCGGAAATGTCATGAAAATGATTAAGACATGTTTTCTACATTTTTTAAACCGCTGTAACACATGTTCTAGACATCTGGAAATTATTTGGCAACATGCTTCCCCTCCATTAATTGACTTCCACAAGAGAAGCCTTGAGAAGGCCGTGTCCTTCTCATTTCCCGCCCTCGCTTGCCGCCGACCGACTCATTCCGCACCCTCCCCCTTGAAACCTTAGCTCTTGGCCGGGAGGAAGAGGAGCAGCAGCAGGAGGAAGAGCAGGAGCAGGAAGAGGAGGAGAATGAGGAGGATGATGATGAAGAGGAGGAGGAGGAGGAGAACAAGAAGAGGAGGAGGAGGAGGGGGAGGAGGAGGAGGAGGAACAGGAAGAGGAGGATCGAGGAGGATCAACGATTGATTTGTGCTGCGCGTGTTTCCTGCGTGGGCTGCGACAGGCCTACAAGGACCTCGGAGATCGTCTGGCGAAATCCAGGGCCGGCGGGGGGGGGACGGTGTCAACATCCTGAAGCTCTCTCCCCTCCCTGACCCCTTCCGAACCCTCTCCCTTGAAACCTTGACTCTTGGCCACCTGCATGGGCCCCAAACGGCCTGAAGCAGCAGTGGCACAGCTGGGAGGCCATCAATCGCTGTATGAATCCCTCACAAAGTGGTCCCGCATCCGCATCTATTTTCGGCGATGGCCCAGGAAAAAGCACATGGCCACGAAGGACTTGGACGAAGAGGGCCAAGGCTGTCAGAGGGGAAACGACAGCTGAGCTTAGCCATGATCGAATACGGGACGCAGACCTGGAGGCGGACGCTGAGATGCGAAGATGACAGGTGTGAGCCGCGGCTTCTGAAAGGACTTGCTCGACGCCCACCAGCCCTCTGGGCGAGTGCGGCTTCGAGCACCAGCTATTCCATGCCCACTTACGATCCGGAACTATTGCTTACCGCGTCGTGACGGCGGCGGTTTCGAGCATCAGCTCTTCCATACCCACTTACGATCCGGAACCATCGCTCAGCGTGTCGTGGCGGCGGGCCCGCGCGACGCGCCTTGCCCTGCGAGCGGATCGGGCCTCGCCCCGCTCCGCAGGGCGGCGGGCTCGGGAGAGCTCGGGGCGCTGAAGCCTGCGGGCTGGGACGTGGCTCTCGCGCCGCGCCGAAGCGCGGTGGACCAGAGCCGGCGGCGCGACGCGTTCGGAGGCGCAGTTCCCCACCGGATTTTTCCCCTGCAGGGAGAGGGGGCCACGGCAGGCTCGCGTCGTGACGGCCCTGGCGCGGGCGCTCTGCCTCCGCATGCGCCGCGGAACCGTGAGCGACCGACTGGCGGCTCTTCGATCGCCGGCTCTTGCCATATCGACAAGTTCTGGGCCACTGGCAGGGCTTCACCTGGGACGCCCGCGGTTGGGCCGCCGCCGCGCCGGCGCGCCGCAAGACTGCCGCCCCCCTGCCCCCATCGCCCCGCCACGAGGAGAGGGCGGTTCGCGCCAGGAGGCACGTGCAAACCCGGCGTCGCTCGAGCCAGGGCGGTTGTCCGCGTTGGCGACTGTACGTGTTGTCGATATGGGGGGCCCCGACGGATGGCCTTGCTGCAAGATCATAGGGCCAACGTCGCCTCACCATGGCTTGCAGAGTCGATATAGCTGCCAGCTCCCTTGTCAGGGCCATGAGGCTGCGAAGCTTGGATTTCGGATTCCAGAAGCTGCGCAGCTCAATCTGCAACAGCGCACCCGGGGAAGTCTCAACGTTGGGCCTCCTCATTTGGTACTCGATTTGCCGATCACCCGCACTAAGACCGCAGAAGTGGCCAGTTTCTGTTCTCACGCGCGCGGCCCCACACGGCCCGAAGGAGGCCTTTCACCACCCCCAAATGACGCCCTCAAATTTTCTGGGTCCCCTAACACACTGCAAAATCCGCCGGCACCAGGCTGTATGGCGAAGGTTTGCTGCTCCCTGCACCAGGTGGCGTTTCCAGTTTCCAATGTGATGGCTCTACTTCCTGCTTCCTACTGTTAATTGTTACTGAACGCGCGAGGGGGGGGGAGCCGACAAAATCACACTTTACCATGCCCCTCCGGGGTTCGCTGATTTCCCGGGGGCCCCTGGGACATGTAAGAATAAATGAGATTCGCGCCTCCTCCTTCTCCTCCTCCTCCTCCTCCTCCTCCGTTTCTTCACTCTCATCCTCGTTTCTCTTTCTCTCCCAGGTGTTCCGTGAGGGGTTCCACAACAGCTGGGGGAACACATCGTCCAATAGTTTGGCCAGACTTTGGCCCAACGTTTTGCCGCATGGGCGTCTCCAAAAGGCAGGGGGCGGCGGTGATTCGCGATAGGAGTCGTCGATGAAACCCCCGAGGCCTCAGTCCATCAAAGCACCTGGGGATTCCACGAAGACCCTTGGACGGTAAACCCAAGCCTTTGAGGGCTCCACCGAAGCCGCCGGACCGTTCACTCGGGCGCCCGGCAGCTCCAGCAAGGCTCCCGGGCCGTCCTCGGGCCTCCCGAGGCCACCACGGACCCGTGGGACTTCTGTGACCCCTGTGGCGGCCAGGCCGAGGTCCAGCGCGGACCCACACACGGAGCTGAGCACGGAACCCAACGCGGATCCCCAGAACGGACCACGTGTTGAACCAGCAATCAACGCCTCGACCCGAGGCGTTGTGCACGCGGCACGCGTTGCGTTGCCAGCCCGGGCGTCTCGGGGCAGCTCGGCGGCGGGGTGCGCGGAGAAGAGGCCTCGGAGGGAACGCAGCAGGGATGTCCGGACACTGAACAGAAGGGGCCCAGGGACACACAAATAAGTAGACACAAATCCCAGGATTGCCCATATGTTCAATATTTTCTGGATGGTCGTCTCCCCTCCACTCCCAACATTTTCCAGGGGATCGACGATTGTGTGTGTGTGTTTCGTGCCTGTGTTCTTCCCTCCTGAGGAATGTCGGGAGTGGACCACCATTGGAGCCGCACCACAAGCCCCAAGCGGGACTGTGGCTGCGAGCAGGAGGAGGGCACGTCCCGATGGGCGCGGGTCCCATGCAGGCCACGCGGAGGGACGAGGTCGCTCCCCCCAACGCCCCCTCATGCGAGGCGGGGCTCCGACCATGCAGCGAGGGCACTGGCCAGGGAACCTCTGGATGAGGAGCACAAGGCTTCTGGCGTCGCAAGTCAACCTAACCTTAGTGAAGTCTCTCTTTAACCCCCCGTCCGGCCTGCGAGCCGCAGCCCCTGACCCTGGCCCAAGGGAAAACAAGCCTCCGATGGCCGCGCCCGCCGCGCCTTCGCAGGCGGGCGCGTGCGAGGCGACGAACCCTCCCAGGCGGTGGACGATTCGGTTAGACCCCAGCCTCGGACCCCACCCCGCCCAACCAAAAAGGCGCGCACACACGAGGGAGCGCACCCCGCGTGTAATCAAGGAGCCTGTTTAGATGAGCGATCGACGTGCTGTCCATGCTCCTGCTCGCGCCCGAATCCCGCCACGGGGTCAGAGCGGGGGGCATGGACAAAAATCTTGTCCCCCGGCGCTCCCAGCTCTTTCTCCAGGTCCCCCTCCTCTTGGCGCCCAGAATGGTGGACAGCAGCATGGGTACAGTCGGGGCGTTGACCTAAGGAACCCTAAATAAGGAACAAGGCCCCTCTTTTCCATAAGTTGAACTTCGATTTCCCATCTAAAACCTCGGGAAAACCCGAGGCAAACTTTGAAACAATCGAGGAACACCGAGCCCCTCCCCAACGAAAAGCGTTCCTTCTGCAAGGCCCCGACTGTATGGATCGATCGCCGACTGGAGGCTGCCACGCTGCAGGGGCTGCGCCGCGGAGACCCCGCGCCAACCAGTGCGGCGGCCCCTGGGCCTCCCAAAGAGGCCCAAGGGCCACGCCTGCTGCGTGGCCGGCCGATGACGCCGAGGGGCAGTGAAGCCCCCCTGGAGAAGATCTGGCACGTGCCTCCAGGAGAGGCGCCAGGTCGTGCTGCCGCATGGCCCGCTGGCTTCCTGCCGCGGGCGAGCGCAGCCCCTGGGCACCCGGGGCCTTCCAGGAGGCCCAGAGAGGCGAAACCGAAGCGAGAGCAGCAGCACGGGTGCCTCTTCCTCCTCCGACTGCCATGGAATGCCCGCCCCGCTCTATGCCGCGTGCTGCACGAACCATTCTGAGACGAAATCGGTGAGAAGGGGCGATGAAAGTTTCGCCATGGCCCGAACCGGCGGCTGTGGAAGGGCGCGCGGATGAAGACGACGGCGGGGACGATGCCCAAGTCGGTGCCCCCTCCCCGACAGATCTAGCCAGCAGCCAGAGCAACGGGCCATGCCAGGGGTGTCCCCGGAGAGGATATTTAGCGAAAATCGGAATGGGCCCTCCCTGAAGCGTTCCTGGAAAAGCCTCGGAAAACATCGGAATGGACCCCTCCGAAGGCTCAAACGTTGCACGTCTGCATTTCGCGGCCCCTGCTTCGTCGGATATCCAGCTGGTCAGCCGCCTGAATTCCGAGGGATCCCCGTGCCCCCTTTCAACTCCCGCACCCCGTACTCGCCCCGTCAGGCGCGGGTCCCCGCCAAGCGAAAATCACACTC